GGGAATCCCATGTCCATGTCCATTGTCTGTCTGCTAGCTAGCCTGCCGTCTCCCATGCGGGTCTGCAGACGACTAACTCTCGTCTCCCCCCACTACGTTCATCCCATCTGGTTACCCCGAAGCCTGGTTCATCCATCGCAAGACTCGGACGAAAGTGACGAGACTCTATTTACAGACACCTTGATAGCACTGGGCATATATTAGCAGTGACCCATCTACTAGCATCGCTTAAAATTGATTTGTGAGCATAATCGCAGCACCAACGACGTCGATCACAAGTTCTCCCCGCCCCCCAGTATCGGCTACCGCCATCACGGTTGCCCTGCATCCTTTGTTTCGGCGCCCTAGGACGGCGGACGGATCGCGATTTGGGACTCGCCCCGGGGCCGCCTGCACCCGATTCAATCGCGACAGCGACTTATCCAGCCAGCGAGCCAGCCCAACATTTATCTGCCCTGCTGCCTTACTGCCCTGTCAGGGCCCCCGAAGGATTGCATTACTATCTTGCTAGCTCGAGAGAAGTGAAAGGTCAGATGCCCAATTGCCAATTAGTCAGTCTGCTGGGGAGCTGTTTTCCTGTCCTGCACAGACTGGGGTGTCTCCTTCTGGCGGCGAGCGTTCCCCCACCGAAGGGCATGGCCACCTCACTCGTTCACGCCTGAGGACCTGGTCGACCAAGGGGCGACGTGAATACTTTAAAAAGGCCGACCGAAGGTGAACTGACAATCTCCTGTCTAGGCGTGCTCTGTTCAAGCTCGGAAACAATTCGTATCGTCTAGCCGATGATTCCTGGGGAAGCTTGAAACAGATACACATTACGAACACACACACACACACACACACACACACACACACACACACACTCAGTGGACGCAAACCTGAAAGTGGTTCCCGAGCCCGAGGTCTAGGCACGCCGACAAAGCCACGCTCTGCCATCCATTCACATTGCTGTTATGAGCTTAACTCGCTGAGCTCGCCGGCCCCGATCAGCTGTTACCTGCAATATATCCCCGCTCAACCAAAGGAAACCTCCTGCGATCTTACTCTTCACGTTGGATCCCGCACATCGCTCTCCCTCACATCGCCTAACTGCGCCATTCTGATTCCCAAATATGGAGCCATTCTCGCCGGAAGCTCCACAGTCGTCAACCACCTCCAGTAGCGGCTCGCCAACCGTGTCCAACGACAGCCCGGGGACGGCGACCACACTGTCCACGCTTGGTGTTTCGGCGACCACTGATGGCCGCTCATCGTCCCAAGCAGCGGTGCCGCTCTCAGTTCCTGCAGCTTGTCTTGCTTGCGTAAGTTTCTTCTTCCTCTGTGCGTCGCCGTCTCACAAAAGACGGCGTCGGCGGCGTCGAATAATGTGCTGAACATGAGGAAATAGCGCGGAAAGCATCTGAAGTGCGATGGACTCAATCCGTGCTCCCGTTGCACAAGCTCCAACGCGGAGTGCGTCTACATCGCCTCACGCCGTGGCTACAAGGGCCCTCGTAGGAACATGGCATCCAACCCCAACAAGCGTCATGCGTCCTCATCGCCTCCGTACTCGGGGCCTACTGACAGCTGCCCGATGATGCTTGGCCATACGCCCGTGTCTATACCTCCCCCCCCTCTCCCGGCTTTCAATCCCACAATTGTTCTGCCCGAGCAGTCTCCAATTTCTTACACATCAACTCCAGCTCTCCCCCACAACATACCCATCTACAGGAATCCCTTTGCTCCGACAGTCATGGAGCCCAACGCCATGGCCTTGACCACGACCACGGCCTCGGGCCCTCCAACGACCCAGCCGCCGGCAATGAGCTTGCCCGAGAAGTGCTTTGAGGCTTTTTACCACTACTTCCACGCCGGCCACCCTTTCGTTCTGCCAAAGGAGTACCTGCTCCGCCTTTTGAAGGAGGGCTCGACGCCCAACCTCGACGTTCTCATGGCGGCCATCAGATACGTTGGCTCGCTCTATATCGAGAAAGCAGGCCCGGCACGAGCCACGCTACTCGACGAAGCAGTCCGTTTGTGCTATCTGCCAACCACAGCCAAAGACGGCTTCTTGATACAGGCCCTTCTGCTCATCATAGTCGGGTACGACGGCAGCTGCGAGCAGGCAAGGGCCCGGGAGCTGCTCGCCGACTGTGAGCGGCTCGCTATCGAGATTGACCTCAATAAGCGGGAATTTGCCACAATGCATGGCCATGGGAATCCGGTGCTGGAAGAAAGCTGGCGCCGAACATGGTGGGATCTCTATGTTTGTGACGGCATGATTGCTGGTGTGCACCGCGTAACCAACTTTCTGCTGTTCGACATCGCTGCCGATGTGGGCCTACCATGCGAGGAGCATCAATATCTCATAGGAGTATGTTGTCTTTTAATGTTGCTGTTTCGACATTTACTAAGGCTAACAACCATGTTTCCAGCATATCCCTTCACCCATGTGTATGGAGGACTTTGACGATCAGATCTTCTCAGGCGAGGACCGAGAGTTTTCATCCTTCACGTATCGTATCGCCGCGGCAAGAAATTTGGGCCGGTTCATGCGAATGCCAAACGCCATGTTCCCTGATAGCGAAAGTGTTGCCAGGGTAGAGGCCCTGCTCACTAACTGGAGAATTCATCTTCCCGATTCCAAGCGTGACGACTTGAACAAGAGTTGCCAGCTTGATGAAATGATGTTCCAGGCGCATTTTATTACTCATGCGTAAGTCTGGATGTTGGGCGTGCCATGGAAAAGAGGGCCTTGTTACTGCTTTGTATGTGTATTTGCTAACACACGTGGAAATAGCTGTACCATCATGCTTCACCAGCCGCTGTCTCAACTGGATACCTCTCCAGTTCAAGCAGTGACATCGTGCGCACCACATCGGCCGGTACCGTCGGGCGACGTTTTCAATGAGCATACACGACACACCATCACGGCCGCGTGCGAGATAAGCAAGATGGTGACACAGGCGGTGCCGATTCTTAGCCACACACACTTCTTCACGTGCGTTTTGACCCTGTCGTCGATTGTCCACCTTTCCAAGTGGGCCATCTACTTCATCGAGGACGAAGAGGACCTCCGGCAATATATACGGCTGAATATCGGGGCGCTTGACAAGCTGAGCAAGGTGTGGAAGGCTGCCAACACGGCGTGGGGCCAGGTCAAGGGAACCGCGCAGGATATATACCGCCAGAAGAAGGCTCAGCAGATCAGCCCAGCCTTCTGGGTCGGCTTCACTCAGGAGCAGATGATCACCAGCATCAACGCGGACGAGGGCATCATGAGCGAGTTCACCAGCGGCATGCTCACGCAGGTGACCAGGGGCCACCAGTGAGGACGAGGACGTCCCGTCTCCCATGATTGCTGATAACAGTCTTGATGGGGGAGGTGATTCTCTGGTTGGTTGCCGATGCCGAGGCACGGCGGCAATATTCCCTCTTATCGTTCGCATCGGGTTAGTTATCAGACAATAAATATGCAATGAGAAGAGGGAGCGGACGATTTGTCAGTTCAGCCGCTGGAGGAGTTGGGCAAATTACTTACTGGTTGAAAAGAAAAAGGACACGATGAGACAGGGGGAATGGATTTTTTGTTTGCGCAAAAAGAATGCGAGCGATCCGTCTGCGATCCAGTGGTTATGAAAAGGAGTTCTCTCTTTATTTCTTTTTATTTTGCTCTTTGGCTATGAGTTTCTGTTTTCTCTTGGATTCTCGTCTTTCGTTTTTTGGTACTCCTTTTTAAATAGCAACGGCACAATGGGCACACACACACACACACACACACCTACCTACCATCTGGAAGGGGGTCCCCGGCTGACTTATGTATTTTAATTCGAATCCAAAGTGTTTGAAGGGATGATTTTCTGGTCGTGTCTGTGGTAGGTAGGTATGCACTCATCTCACCTTGGTACCTTGCGTGCGCAAGTGCTTACACTTGATGGTAGTCTGCGCCGCGATCTTGGTTTGGTGCTTACCTTGATGTGTGGTTTGCCTGACCTTGGTTACCAAACCAGGGCTCGGGGAATGGATGCCACACCACTTTCTCTTTCTAATAGAGGCGACTATTCTACGGGCTTCTTACACCACCTACCAACTTTGACCAATACTTCTTTTTAGTGGTCGCTTCTCTCTACTTGCCAATCACTGTCTTTGAGACACGCACACACATCACACACCTGAAGGGTTCGCCGACCTCCGCAAGGAGAGAGAGAGAGAGGTGCGTGTCCTCGTGGATCCCGGGGCTTGGTTTACCAACTACCAAACACCTGCGTTGTTCCTATCTAACCGCGTACAGCGGTGTCCTGCAGGTCCACGACCGGCGACCCTTTCCTCCCCCCACCACCCCGCCCGTGAGGGAGTGGGTGAGTGAGTGAGTGAGTGAGTGAGTGAGCGAGTGAGCCGCGAAACACATCATCACTTTCAGCAGTTCCCCTCCCCCTTTCCCTTTTTGTTCGTCCAAAACTAGAAATGTCCAAAAGACTATCGAGATCATCTGAGACAGACACGAACTGGGGTATGATGCACGCCCAGAGCGGAATAGGTGTCTATCTCAGCTGTTCTGGGTGCAATATTCATACGGTACTTTCCTAGATAAGATGCGCAGAGGACGATAGAAAGGGGAGGAAGAAAGTTCGAAGGCGTACTTGTTCTCATATGGTAACTCCGGCCGAAGTGTGTCGCCGCCCGAATAATAACCCCGCAGCGTAGCGGCATCTCGAGGGCGTCTACTGTGTACTGTGTAGAATCCGGATCACGGCTTCACTGGGGGGCAGCAGGCAGTTCCCCGCGCGGTTTCCCCCGCACGTAACCTTGCGCAATCATGGACGCCGAAACATTCTTATAAGAGCATCTCGGACAATTATCAGGTATTGTGACTAGGATGTATAAGAATTCCCACTAGCGATACCCCCCATGGGTCAGGTTAAAATATCCCAAGGTGACGTTTTGGAGAGGGGGGACACTAAGGTGAAGGGAGGCAAGTAAAATTATACAAAAAGAAAGAACTTTGAGCAAAGCGAAAGTTTTGCTCCGACTGGGGGTTGAACCCAGGACCTTCGCATGTGAAGAGGTTTTAAACTCAAATATAAGAACGATGTGATAACCACTACACCACCGGAGCGAATTTATCAAGCGAATCGCACTTTTTGGGTTATGAAGCTTCTAGAACTGCTGCACCGCCGCACTATCCATCCGTCTGGTGATCGATCCATAAGTCCACAACGCAATAAAAACCACACGGAGGTACCCTCGTGGACCCCGGTGCTTTTCTCCCGGATATATCCTTGGTTGTCTTATTGTTAAGGATGGGGCACATTTTTGCTTTGTTTGTCCTATTCACAGATCCCTACGCTACAGCCGCTGGGGAACCCAGACCTAGGTGGATGTTGAACCTTAAGCCCCGCCTAAAATGTAGTTATCGGGGGAGGGATCAGGGGGGCTGCCCGCTGCTCGACTGCCGCTGCTGGGGGCGGCTAGGCAGGGGGGCTAGAGCGCCCATGGGTGCCGGCCTGCCGCCTGAAGGAGCGACACTGAGAAGTCAAAACTCAAAAGTGCAAACAATGTTCCAAAGGAATGAATATTTCCCCAGTCTTATACAAGGTCCCACCCCAATTGCAACACCTATATTGACTGAATAGATGGCTGCCAAATAGGGACTGCACTATTGTTCAGCTCGGCTCCCTCCCTCTCCCTCCATTCCCAGATACCTTAGAGTGCCAGTCGTGTTCGTCGGCGAACATGTTCAGCTCCCTATGCACCAAAGTCGTCGGCGACTGTATGAAACCTCATACAACTGCCCAGAGTCCAAGGCATTTACATACAAATCAACCAACCTTACTCAGCGCGCAGAATGGATGGCCGCAGGCGCAGCCACCCTTCCTGTCCTGTCCTGTCAGTGCCCAATTCCAGTTCCAGTCTAGTCCAACCGTCCAACGTGTGTGCATGCATGCTGTAAGCGAAGCGTGGCCGATCCTGCCCTGCCCACCTTACCCTTTACCGGGCAAGGCGACAGACAGACAGGTGCCCGTGCAACCCTCGATTGGCTACGACGTCCCAACAGTACGGTCTGCTTGGGTAGGCTATATGCAACATGACATGACAGGCCAGGATCTGGAAAGCAAAAGAGTCATGTTACACACACCTTGATCTCACCCACTGACCGACTGACAGCCGGCCGGCCAGCTTTGACAAGTTGACGTTTGAGGTGGAGCCCGACGAACGAACCCCTGAGAGAGAGAGTGGGTGGGCTCACGGTCCGCCGACGTTGTGCGGATTGCGGTCTGCGGATGAGCCCTCATCGGCGTTTCCCGTCTGATGATGATGCTGCTGACCTACACGGGATATACTACCTACGTACTGGCTACCTCGTCTCAGGCCTGCACTATGGATGGGTAAGAACTCAAGTGAGCATGGGCACGCGAGCCGTCGCCGGGGACTGGAGCCCGAGCGAGACATGGATATCTATCTTTTTTTTTTTTTTTTTTTTTTCCCTCCCTCGGGCTCTTGTCATGTCGGCGAGTTCAAGATCATACTGCCTGCTCAGCTGTCGAGAGACGATACGAAATAGAAGAGCACACTTAATACTACTAGAGATAATTTCTAGTATTAAAGTCGAGTTCTGAACCAACGAGTCAACCTCTGATGCGTTCCTGGTTGTTGTAGCATCTTATCTCATCTTCATCCTTTCTTTCTGCCTTTCATCTTCACCACAAGTCGGGATCATATCTATCCACCACCATGGCAGTGGCAAGCACGCACTCCGACACCGATGTCGAACGGGTTGTCAAGTATACAGCAAGCGTCGATGTCGAGAAGCGAGCTGTTGCCGAAGCACACTTGATCAACACAACAGTCCGGAACATCAGCTGGAAGGGCGCCACCGTCACTGTCAAGGACAGAGAAACAAAGCTCCCAAAGAACATCATTGAAAATGTAGAGGGCATTGTCGAAGCAGGTATGTTGTTATCATCCCCTTTCCCTCCCTCCCTCCCCCCTCCTCACCCCCTTTCACTAACCCAGCCAAAACCCAAGGCGAGATCTGCGCCCTCATGGGCCCTTCGGGCTGCGGCAAAACAACCCTCCTCAACATGCTCGCATCCCGGCCTCCTCCCACCACATCCCAAAAGACCGAGGGCTCCGTGCTCGTCAACGGCAGCACGCCGTCCCGCGCCGCCTTCCGCGAGATGACGCGCTTCGTCGAGCAGGACGACGCCCTGATCGGCTCGCTGACGGTGCGCGAGACGCTCGCCTTCGCCTCGCGCCTGGCCAGCACGAGCGCGCTGCCGCGCCGCGAGCGCATCGCCCGCATCGACGGCCTGCTCGACTCGTTCGGCCTGCGCGAGCAGGCCGACGCGCTCATCGGCACGCCGCTGCGCAAGGGCGTCAGTGGCGGCCAGAAGCGCAGGGTCGGCGTCGCGAGCCAGCTGATCACGAGCCCAAAGATTTTGTTTCTGGACGAGCCGACGAGCGGGCTGGACTCGGCGGCGAGTTGGGAGGTGGTGAATTATTTGAAGGGGGTTGCCAAGAGGAACAATGTGAGAAAAATGTTTTTTGCTCCCTTTGGTCTGATGGTTGGTTTGTTGTGCTAATAAATAGTATGATGTGTTTTGCTTGCCGTAATAGCTCATCGTCATCGCCTCGATCCACCAGCCCAGCTCGTCCACCTTCAACCTTTTTGACAAGTTGCTCCTCCTGTCGGCGGGAAAGCCGCACTACTTTGGGCCCGTGGCGGCCGTGACGGCGCACTACGAGTCCCTCGGCCACGAGGTGCCCCTCCACGTCAACCCGGCCGAGTTCCTGCTCGAGCTGGTCAACATTGACTTTGCGGCGCACCGCGCTGAGGCATCGCAGCGGCTGGGGCAGCTGCAGGCCGCATGGACGGCTTCCCCGCGGGCCAAGGACCTGGCCGCTGCTGTGGCTGATGTTGAGGCTGCGGCCGGCGGTAGGGGAGCAGCAGTAGTGGCGCAGGTCGACGATGTTGCAGAGAGGAAGCCCAGTATGCCGAGCTTGGTGCTGACGCTGATTCACCGGAGCTTTGTCAAGAGTTATCGGGATGTGGTGGCGTATGGGATTCGGTTGGCTATGTATACTGGTGAGTGTACTGAGCTATCGGAATGGGATGGGGGGGTTATCGATTGCGGGACGATGGGCTAAGCTGATCTTGATTGACTGCCTAGGTCTTGCGATCATGATGGGCACTGTCTGGTTGAGGCTGGATGCTGACCAGGCTTCTATTATTCCCTTGACGAATGCCATTTTTTTGTATGTGGACACTCAGCCTCCGTTGTCCCTTGAGAATGGTGCCCCAAAGCTGACGTGGGGGAACCCAACAGCGGTTCGGCATTCATGTCCTTCATGGCAGTGGCGTACTGCCCGGCCTACCTCGAGGACTACTTCCAGTTTGTCAAGGAAAAGCACAATGGCCTGTACGGCGCGACCGAGCTGATCATCTCCAACTTCTTCATTGGGATTCCCTACTTGTGTATGTCCCCATTTATCTCGACAACCTATCCCGTTCTTCACATTGACTAACAGCAATCCTTCAGTCCTCATCTCCATCGTCTTCTCCTCCATCTCCTACTGGCTCTCCAACTTCCAGCCGACCGCGACCGCCTTCTTCACCTGGGTGTTCTGGCTGTTCCTCGACCTGCTCGCGGCCGAGGGCCTCGTGGTGTTTATGACGTCGCTCTTCCCGACCTTTGTCATCTCGCTGGCCCTCGTGGCGTTTGCCAACGGGCTGTGGATGAGCGTTGACGGCTTCATGGTGCAGCCCACCATCCTCAACGTCTTTTACAAGTACGTCTTTCACTACTGGGACTACCAAAAGTACGTGTTTGAGAACATGATGGTCAACGAGTTTGCCGATCGGGTGTATGCCTGCGCCAGGACGGGGCCGGGCGAGGGGGATTGTCAGTGTGAGTCAAATCCCTTTTGTTCTAGTTCTTTCTCCTCAACAAAGCACGGTTACTGACGCTGTTATAGGCATGTGGCAGACCGATCTGGCGGATCAGTGTCTCATCCGCGGCCAGGGCGTCCTCGATCAGTATGGGTATGAGCCGGGCTATATGGGCAAGGACGTGGGTATTATGATGGGTATCATTGTCGGATACCGCATCGCGGCGTGGATTGTGCTCAAGTTGAAGAAGTGAATGAGTCTATACTCAAGCGTATGGGTGGGCAAGGAGTTAGTGGAGGTTGAATGCTTTGAAATGTGGCGACAGGTGAGGACGGGATGTAAAACAAGAGAGTGTGTTGTTTAGGTATGGATGAAGAGTAATGTGTGTTTTAAGAGTTAATGTAGCTTCAGACTTTTTGCACTGATGACGGTTTATCAAACGATCATTCACGATGCGTACCTTTGGCAGCGAGTGGATCAGACGTTCAGTCAATTGCTGAACATATATTAGTGCCTTGCGCTGAGAATTGTACAGAGAGGTATAAATTACTTTTGCAACATAAAGCGCAGGTATTTGCTCGCCTTGAACGCCCACCAAACAGAAAGAAAACATGATCAGAAAAGAAAACCGGTTGCCTTTGAAGAGAAATAAACAGTCGAGATAAACCAAAACAGATCGCTTTACTTCCCACCGCCTCCTTTTCCCTTACCCCAACAAACGTGCTTTGAAAAAACGAGGAGCCGTATCGTCGGGAATATGTAAAGGGTATACACACATATATGACCCAGTTTCCAATAGTCCTCCTCCTCCTATCTTTACCCCAAACCCACCAGATAGACCATCAGCAATATCGTATTGGAGAACCTACTGTGATGTGGTCTGGGCATTAACCAACCAATCCATCCATCCATCCCAAGTATTCATCAGTTCTTTTTTTTTCAACACACTTTCTAGGCCCAAGACGTCGCCGTCGTTGTCGCATTACTAGGGATAGGATCCAGCACAGCAAAAAGCCACTCCGCTGACACCTGGGGTGCAGCCAGGAAACTCTTGAGCCAGCAAATGTAGTTTCCTTGGTACAAGCCCCAGCCAGCGCCGACACACTCTGCGTCGTCGGCGCACAGGTCAATACAGTCGCTCATGGTGGCGGCCTCGAGGTTGTACAAGTCCACAGTGCCGCCGCCCGAGTTGTAGTCGCGGCCACAGAGCATGACGTAGTGCTTCT